GGGTTGGGGGGCTGGGAGAGAGCACCCCCCTGAAATGATGGCAGATAGCACAGGAAGCAAAAGCTTCTTTGCTATCTGCAGGTTTTTTTTTCTGATTTTGTTTTTAGTATTCTGACAGTTGCAGTCGTCAGAATATTAAAAAAAAGGTATAAGAATGCATAGCTGGATTCCTATTGGCTATTGCACTTTGCAATAGCCAATAGCAAACTAGCTATTGCACCCGCCCTCTGCTGCTTTCAATCACCAGAAGAGGACCTGATAAAAAAATTCAGGTCCCCCTCTGCTGATTGACAGCAGCAGTGGGCGTGTACATTGCCTAGTTTACTATTGGCTATTGCAAGGTGCAATAGCCAATACGAATCTAGCTATGGATTCCTATGCCTTTTTGTTTCTTTTCAGCGGCTCCCAATGTCAGAAAAGAAAAAAAAAAACGATCGCAGGGAAAGGTTTATTTGCTCGATCGAGCAGATAAACCTTTCCGGGAGGCAGTGTTTCTGTCCTGGGCGTCCGGGAGCCGCTATCCAATAGCGGGAGACTCCCGGAGCGTCCGGGAGAGTTGGGATGTCTGGTAGCCAGTTAATGGACAGACAGCTCTCCTACTTCCCTGCATGGGGGCGTGGACACCTATAGGGAAGGAGGAGAGGAGCCTGTCCATCAACTAGTTACTATGGCAAGTGGGCAGGACCATCTTCCTTCCCTAGAAGGAGCCTATGCTGGGCTCAGGCCCCTCTGCTGATTTGAAGGGGCCCGGTACAAGAGGGCTGCCTGCACCCACTTATTAGAAACCCTGAGCACACTTGTAAGATAAGTGTGCCCTAATGTGCAAGTATGCTGTGCATACCCTAGGGCAGAAACAGAATATTTGCAAAGCAGTTTAATTCCACTATAATAACAATGTAAAAACATAAAAAAATTACTGTTGGAATAAAACTAGAATGTTAAATATTATAAGAGATTTCAGTAATTGGATGTACATCTACTTTAATTACACAAGCAGTTTATGGAATACAACAAAGCAATGGGCAAAGTGATAAGTGGAAAGCGCAGTACCCACAGCAACCAGTCCTTACACCACAGAAGCCTGGAGGTGTTTCAGAAATACCCTGTTTCCCTGAAAATAAGACCTACCCCAAAAATAAGACCTAGTACTATTTTTGGGATTTGCTAAAATAAAAGACCTACCCCGAAAATAAGACCTAGTTGTGACCATTCCCAGGGCCGGTGGTGGCATAAGGGGGAACTTGAAGAGCTGCGGGAGAGGCAGGAGAGAATCAGCGGTGCCAACAAAGCCAGCGCTAGAGGAAGCGAGGCGGCAGCGGAGGGAGCAGAGCTGCATAAACCGATGCCTTCTCTATAGCGCCGACTCCTGTCACAGGCGGAGTGATACCTAATACACTCCACCTGTGAGGAATAGATAGTGAAAGTGTGCTTCGCTCATTGTGGCCAGCAATTGGATAGCAAATTGCTCTTGGAAAGGTATGGCGCCCCTGATTGTCCTGATCACCATATTTTGTACATGAATACATGTAGACTTTTCTAATTGAATAAGTGTGGATTGTTGTACATTAAAAAAAAAACCTACCCCGAAAATAAGACCAAGTGTGTTTTTGTGAGCCAAAAGGCAGTGTCTTATTTTTGGGGAAACACGGTATGTACTGGTTTTTGTTAGATTCAGCTGACGTTCTTGAAGAAAATATATCTGCGAATTGCTGTAAAATGAAACAGACTCAGCAGGAGGCATGAACAGCATTCTAAGTGCATGCAGTATATAATGTAATTAGTAACTAAACTTCTCCCTTTGGCTTTACTGCCTTAAAAATTGCTTCCACTCAGATCTCGCCGTAAGTGTTAAACAAAACCGTTAAGTGAAATGGCCCAAGGCAGCGGGAAATAGATTGTGTTTTCCAAAGTAATTTAATTTTAATATACAACAATACCAACTATTATGAAAGGATGAGTGCCTGTTATGATTTCCGTTCAGGACTGAGCTCACCTTACCTTGGTATTTGAAATGTACAATAGAAAGGCTTCGATTTCCCTGTGTCTGGGACACTACTGTCCCTAACGTCTATTTTATGTGTTCTTGTTTAATAAAACATACTTGATGTGTTTTTTTAAAGTAGACCCTAACTAAAGCACACCTAAGCTGGCCACACACTGCTCGAATTTCGGGCGACTCCTGCTGACACAACCAAAATTTGAGCAGTGTGTGACCCCATTGCTGCAGGGCCCAAAAATGTTCGCCCAAATAGTGACTGCAGCCAATCAGCATACCCGCTTGTGAATAGCCTAATACGGGGGAATTACCCCATTTACTGTAAGCTGTTAAGCATGGATGGGGGAATCAGGAGTTGGGACTGAACAAGAAAAAACAAATAGTGAACGGATAGGCAAACTCCTGCTGTGGTGCAGCTACAAATCCCATGAGACACTGCAAGACTCCAGAGGCAAATATATGATAGGATTTGGAGTTTCACCACAGCTGGAAGGCCGGAGTTTGCCTATCCCTGAAATAGAGTCTGGCAGCCCTAGGACCCATGTGCATGGGACATTCTATTTTACACAGGATCATTGCTGTCACTGGATGCAAAAATAACCACCAGCATTGGTGGCAGTGGATGCAAAAATAGCCCCCAGCATTGGTGCCAGTGGATGCAAAAATAACCCCCAGCATTGGTGGTTAGTGGGCGTAATAATAACTCCCAGCATTGGGGTCACTGACGCAATAATAACCCCCAGCATTGGTGGTCAATAGATGCAATAATAACCCCCACTGGTGGTGGTCTGTGGCATTATTAATAACCGCGTCCTCCTTGCATTGGTGCGTGGTCAGCAGAAATTTACAATGCCACTCCCCACCCACCAGTTCAAGGAGGAATAGGTTCATTAATACACCCCAAAGACATGCTGGTAGGTTAATTGGCTCCTCTCTAAAGGTGGCCATACACTTTACAACCATCGCAAGACCTTAGTCTTGCGATGGTTGTAAAGTAATTTAAAAAACGTACGATCTGCCCATCTTGGACAGGCAGATCGTACTTGCGATCATCAGCTTCCGATGACCGCAATGCTAAACGGGCAGCGTGCGCACACCGGCCCGTTCGGCATTTGTCTCCCGAGCATGCTAAAAACCAGCCGAAAATCTTACGATTTTCGGCTGGTTTTTTTGAACATGCTCCTTAGACAAAAGACGTGCGGCCGTACAGTAAAAATGGTCACACGCCTTCCATACACTTTGCGATTATCGTACGATCGCGGGATTTCCCGCGATTATCGTGCGATAATCGCACAGTGTATGGGCACCTTTAGTTGGCCCTTTATGTATGCATGTGAGCTGGGGACCTTATATTGTAAGCTCCTTGAGGGTAGGGACTGATGTGAATGTGCAACTAAGTATAGTGCTGCGTAAATTGTTGGCGCTATATAAATACCTGTAATAAATTAATTAATTAATCAATAATAACACTGACCAGTGGTCAGTTAACCCCCTCCCCTTGCAATGGTGGGTGGTCAGCCAGTTGTATTGCTAACCTCTTGTTCCTCCCAGTGAGAGAAAGCACTTACATGTGTAGTGAAGACTCCAGCAGCCAGCAGAGAATGACATCACAGCCGGGGCTCTAATTCATGTGTTGGGCAGAGATCACTCTGGCTCAGCTTGACAGAGGAACTAGAGCACCTGGCCCTGGCTGCTGGCGTCCTAGTGCCATGGGAACACAGAGAGCATCCCGGGTGGCACCCAGCACCCCTGCTCCCACTCTGTAAGGTCCCCTCCCTCTTAGTACTCCTCCTCCCGCTGTACAAATCAAAGCACAGGGTGCGTGACTCACGCATTCTGCTGTTTGTTGCTGTTTAAATCTCCGGCAACCAGATCCAACAATTTCCAGTATTGCCAGGTCAATTCCGGCAAGTTCCCCCCTATGACAATACTGCTGCATGGAGATCCATATAAATTAGGAATCTGTATGTCCAGTATTGTACACTGATGTGCATTAACCCTTTATATGTTAAAGCACTGTGTATCATAAGCAAATATCATTAAAAAAAAAAAACTTATTTCACCTTTTTTACATCCTTGGTTGCTTCTTAATGTTACTAATTTTCTTCAGCCTCTTTGGACCCATTTCCTATCTACATGTACTCCAGCAATGGTTGCATTGCATTTCTCTGGGTGAAACTTCCAGCTTTTTAAGGGCTGGTTCACACTACCTGCATGGTGAAACGCAGTGTTTTATCGTGGGTGGAGTGTTGGCATTTATGCCGGTGCAATATAGCACCTCAGATTTGATAAGCTGCAAACACACATGGAAATCACATTCTGCCCGCCATTTTGGGAAGCTCCCTCCTGAGTACTCATAGTCTACACATCACATGACCAGCTGTGCAGCTCAAAATATTAGGGCTCCCTTGGCATGATGATGTCTTATTGCAGTGCACTGCAGCATCAAGAATGGGCTGACAAGACATGGCAATGGGTTTAACAACAGACCTCCTCCATTTTTCTTTTTTTTTTTTAAATACAGCACATCACAAGACATGGCCTGCTTATTGGGTGAGCTCCAAAATGTTTATTTTATGTTTTTTATTTTTTCAGCATTCGAAGCATTTGTCAATATAATTGTGCCCAAAATATTTTGCAAAAGCCCACATGTCCTATTTCTTCCCCTCCGGAGACTTTGGGGGAATTGACAAAATTTGTCTGAAGTGGAGCACAGCCAATCATCTTTTAAATGTTCGAGAAAAAAATGAAAGCTAGACACTGATTGGTTGCTACGGGCAACCACAGTGTTAGAATTTCTTTTAGACACATTTTATTAATTCCCCGTGTGTGGAGTAGGAACTGAACTCAGAGAAACTGCAGTAACTCAAAGAAACTGCAGTAACTCTGTCCATCTTTTACACAGCATCAATGTTACTATTAAGACCAATTTAGGAAAGTTAGTAGCTAAGGGTGGGCAGACTGCTGCAAGCAGCACGCATGCGACAACACAAGGCTACGTGTTATGCCGGAACTCTTCCGCGTGGCTTTAGTTCCTACCCGTGACGTTTTCGCTGCACGCTGTATGCGTCCGTTTCCATGGCAACAACGTTCACCTGGGTTTTCTGCCTGCTGTTCGCCTGGACCTCTCCGGTGGTGCTGTGATGCGGCTCCATACACAATGATGAGCAGGTGAGGCGGCCAGTGCCTGAACAGAGCATCGTTAGCTTTATGCATAAGCAAGAAAATCTATAGCAGTTGTGCCTGGCAACCTATCAAATTCCTTCTTTCACATTCCCCTGGGTGAAAGCTGATTGGTGCCTATGAGCAGCTGATCTACCTTTTATTTAGGTTTCCTTTCTTTATTTATATGCAACACGTGCTGCCATAAAATCCATTTGGCCCCTTCACACTGATGAATTGCAAGAACGTATGGTAAATTGCATGCATGTTGTACTGCATGTTACCATGGCACATGTTAATGCATGATATGGTTTGCGTCACAGTACTATATATTTAGAATGCCACCTATGCAATTTTAGCCCTCTTTAACACCTGAGCAAGACTGGAATTCTGATGTTGAGTGTTGTCACTCATAGGGAAATGTGCAAAAACACACGACAATGCTCAAGATCAGAAATCCATTCTTTTCCATTGGGACTGTTCACATCTCTAAGCTCAGTCACTTGAAGCTTGAAAAGGTACATGTGTGGGGGTTTTTTTTGCAAGTTTTTATCCTCATAGACTTTATTGGAAACATGTGACACAAGCGTTTGTGTGCGTTTTTGCATCTGGAGCTGCTCTGTCCTCTTTCCGTTGGCCAAAACAATAATACCTAAAGTTTGATACATATGCAAAAGCACTTGCACAAAGCTTGCACAAAGCGTGCAAAATGTTTTAAAAACATGCACTGATGCATGTAAAGACATGCAAATAAAATGCTTCAGAATTGCCAGATATATGCTGTATATGTGAATGCCGTCTTACGGTAGCTGCCAACACACCTGCAGAATAGTCCACCACCACACCAAAGTGCTGATGGTGCTTTTTTGTTGTACGTGATGATAGCAGCAGAACACTGGACCATTAAAAATAAATAGACTTCCTTAACGCAGCACACCTCAATGTGCATCAATAGTGTGAATAGTCCCCAAGGGTGCAAGTGGATCCCGGGCCATAAACATGCAAGGACATTTGCTCACATGCTCAATCGCTATGCGTGAACCTCTCACCGTAAACTGATGTTCAGCGCATATGGAGCAGTCTTAGTTTGCAGTTCAGGTTGAACATTAAAATAAAGTTGCTCTTACGCCTTCTGTTCCTATAAAGTACATCATATAATGCAGCAACAGTTTTCTTAGCTGAAGTCTTTAAAAAATGGTTTGTGTGTGGGAGGTTTCTGGCTGCAGGTTACTTTAAAAAAGAACTCTTGGCAATTTTTTTAATTAAGCCTTGCAGTGGGGCTACCCCCTGCACTGCAAGGGTTAACTGCTTGTTTTCATCTAGGTGCTAAAATAAAAAGATATACTCACCCGAACCGCTGTCACAGCGCTCTTTTTCAGCCTGTGTCCTCCTACACAGCAGCAATGGCATGTTTCTTGGCATCCTCGTGTCTATACACAGTGTATAGAATGTGATGACACTGGGATTCTCAGACCGCTGCAGCGCAGGGGAGAGACGCTGGAAGGACCGGTCTAAGAACAAGCCGGCTTGGAGGATAGGGCTTGAGTACAACTTTATTATTTTGTGTACCTAGATGAAAAGGGGCAGTTAACCCTTGCAGTGTAGGGGTATCCCCATTGCAAGGGCTAACTTAAAAAGTGCTTAGTAAATCTGGATCCTCCTTCACAGTAGTGATCTTCCAGCACTGCGGAGGTTTAGTGCAGCTGTGACAGTGAAGCATCCCCGTCATTTTCCTCATCTGCCTTCCCTTTCTTCGAAAAGCCTTCCCTTTCTTCCCCCCGCCCCCCCCCCCCTTTTTCCATTCACAAATCTCCTTGTATTATTTGCACAGAATACAAGACGTTCTGTGAATGAACAAGGGGAGATCCTGTCTTTCATCTGCCCTCTTCTATTCACAGAATACCTTGCATTCTGTAACAATAACACAAGATGTTCTGTGACTGGACAGGGGATACCGCCCTTCATCCTCCCCTCCTCAATTCACAGAACTCCTTGCAAATAATACAAGGAGTTTTGTGAATGGACAGGGGGTGAGGAAACGGAGGATAAACAACAGGATCCTTTACTGTCATAGCTGCTGCACTTAACCCCCCCAACACCACTGTGAGTAGGATCCAGATTCACTGAAGGGAGGATGTTTAAAGTAGCCAGCAGGACATAAGAGATACTTCATTAGAGATAATTAATGTGACCTACTAGACGTCGGCTTTAAAAATAACCTGAAATAAAAAGAAATATCTTACCAGACCTTTCTGCCAAGCAATAAAATATGCATGCACCAAGCTACAACACAGCGGGGGGGAATATACTAAAACTGGAGCAGCTGTGCATAGCAACCAATCAGCTTTTTCTGCCTTAGTAAATTCCCCTCATTCTGTTGAATGGAAAATCAAACAAACGTAC